AAAGTAAAGCTACCGGAAATGTACAACCCCACATCCGGTCTCAAACCAGGAAGTTAGCATTTTCTTGTTGCACAGGGTCAATACAAAGTCTTCTATGGACAACAGTTTCCTTCCATAAGCCCTTCAGTTCTCCTTGAAATCGATTCTGTAAGTTGCTGAAACTCATTTGTCTGAAAGATATTTGGTATTTTGATGCGGTTGACGACCAAAAAGCTCACATAGATGTTCAGCTGGACTCAGATCTAAAGACTACGAAGGTCATTGCTTACATCACATAATTTTCATACACATCAAACCATTCAGTGAGTCCACGACCCAAGGTTTGGGACACTGTCATCCTCAAAGAGACCATTCCCTTTAGGATAAAAAGGTTTCATCAAAGGACAGAGCTGATCAGGATAACTTCGAAAGGGGACCCGGATAACGGCTCCAAGCCGTATAATAGTCACCGGATACCTCAGTTGTAGGTTTTTCCTTTAATTTGTTACCTCGCGTGTTTGATGTTTGACGTTGACATTATGATGAGAGATTTTATATCCCCGATAAGTTTAAATGAATCGAATTATTCTGCGTATCTTCTACGTCAGAATGCAGACATGATGCCCTGCAGAGCTGCCGTCACAGCGCAGTGCTACACTAGAGAAACCCCAGTTATAATGTAAAGTTCTCTAAGACAAAAATGCAGTGTCTTACAGCCAGGAACTCTTTGAGGCGGTCCTCTATGCTTCCCTTGTGGATGGTGAAGAGAGCAGCAGCGATCTGGTTGATTGCTTTGGCCAGGCAGTGGATGTTGTTACAGTGGCCTGTAGGGGGCAGCAAACACACACAATTAGCTGAAGAATGAGAGATTATTGACTCGGGTTTAATTTCTCACATGTGACTTTCACAGCAGAGGAAATTTCAGGCTTATAAAACATGGATCTGTCAATCCTGGGCTTCATTTCTGTATCGCATGTGACACGGATGACAAGCACATGAATATAAAACGCGCGTGTAATCGTAAGGTTAGAGAACGGTTAGCGTGGCTGCACCGGTGCGACGTGTTAAGACCTGCTCGCGGCAAAACCAATCACTCGTCGGGACGCCGTCTGCATACTAACAATGGTGGAGCCCATTACAACTCATTATCCTTTTCAAATGTCCCTTATTAACAATGGCGCCTTTCATTTCAAGGTTGTTAAGTGGCGCTGTCTTGATAATTCGCGACCTTGAGTTATAACTCTCTTCGATACCTCATCAAAAGGCCTCGTGTATCTGCAGCGATGCCCCTCCGTGGATCTAAATATCAAGTCTGTATGACTGAATAAATCTTTCAGGCAAATAAATAAAAACAAACACGGGTCACATGGGCTAAACAGACATTTAAAACTGATTAATTATTTAAAAAGTACACATAATGAAGATGATAATATGGCTCTAATGAACACACATAAATCAATCTTGGGGCATGAGGTCGACGTCATTTGCATGCAGAAACAGTCTCGCGCGTTGAACGTGGTAAATTTTGTTTCCTACAAAGTGGAATTTTTTTCCCCCAGCAGTGAGTCACAGGACGGGCTTATTATCCCCTTTATTAATGAATATTAGAGCAGGAAATGGAGGGCGAAATGATGGAGAGGAATCAATTTGTATCACAAATATACTTAAGTGCATCATGTATTATAATTTCTGTTCCGTAATCATTTGAGTCACAACAATTACTCCAGAATTTTTCCTCCCAGAGAGTCTCAGCCGGCCTCAAACCAAAGTCAAGTCATTAAGTCGAACACTTTTTTAAAAGAAGACACCTGGAGTGCAGCAGAACGCACGTATGACAGGTAACTGCTGCTTGTTAGGCTAACAGCAAAACTGAACATGACAAAGATTTGTAATGTGGGTTAAACAAACAAAGAAACCTAAAGCTGGA